GGTTTCTCATGAAAGACAATTTTTCCACGGTTGGGGGTGGGGGGTGGGGGGGACGGCGGAGCTCTGTGGCCCTTCGCTAACAGGCCACGGACTCGTACTTGGGGGTCCGCAGCTACAGATTTTACAGTAGAGGGATGTTAGGATGGAGATATAAAGAAGAAGGTAACCCCAGGAACTCTGGGGTTGGTCAGAAAAGACTTCCCAGGAGAGATGACACTAGAACTAACTTTTTAAGGATTTGTAGGTGTTCATTAGGCGGGTGGGGAAGTGCATTTCAAGCATAATCCTCCTACATAGTCCATTAGGGCTTTTTGGTGTGGTCAGATAAGGTGGGATGGAATCATCAGCATAGGATTGGTGTTATAGAGGAAGAGCTGGTCAGTTCAGGTAAGGTTACATATGCCTTGCAGCAGTGTTTGACCTTTGTCTAGTAGGTCAGAATTCTTAAGGTGGTAGGCTTTTTGCATTGGAATTACCTGAGGTGACCCTCAAGTATACAAAGATTAATTCCAAATGAATTAAATTCTAAATGAACAAAAAATAAAAAAATAGAAGAAAATTTAGGGAAATTATTGAATGATCTTGGTGTTTAAGATAGCAATTCCTGAAGTCATGAAAGAAAAGAGATGTGTTTGACTAAATAAAAATGAAAAATTTTTGCGTGATCCTCTTTTAGCCTCTGGGGCTATAGTGATTGAATCTGTTCTCAATGGAGCTTATGTTCAAGCAAGGAGGGGACTTACTGTATAAATAACAAATAAATAAAATAATTTCTGGTACTGGTAAACGCTATAGAGAAACTAGGGTTATGTGAAAAAGAACATCTGTGAGATGTGTTGCTTTTGTAGGTGGTCAGAGTAGACTTCTGGAAATAAGGGACACTGGAGCTGTGAGTTGAATGATGAGAAGAAGGGAGCCACACAGAAATTTCCATGCAGAGGCCCTGAGGCAGGGATGAACTTGGTATGTTGGAGTGACAGAAAGAAAGCAATGTGGCTGGAATACAAAAGGAAACTGGTAGGAGATGAAGTATAAGAGGCAGGAAGAGGCCAGCTGTACACAGCCCTGTAGGCAGGAGAGTAGGCCGGACTGATGTACATTTGTGAAGATCTTTATGGCTACTATGTGTCAAAGTGATTATAGGGGGTGTTGTGAGTTGAATTGTGTTCCCCAAAAAGATACGGTGAAGTCCTACGCCCTGGAACCTGTGTGAACTTGTATGGAAGTAGCATTTTTGCAGACGTAATTCAAGATAAGGTCATACCAAAGGTCAGGGCTGGAGTTATAAATTTGGGGGTTATTGGTATATAAAGGTAATTAAAGCCATGGTACTGGCTCTCATTTTCTAGGGGAAAAATGAGGATGATGAAGGGAAGACAAGGGTTTTTGCAACATAGATACTAACCAACAATGAAGAGTTAACAGAAGGGACTGAGAAGGTGTGCCCTGTTAAAGCAGGAAGAAACCGGGAAACTGAGATGTTACAGAAGTCAAGAGAAGGAAATGTTTCAAGGAGAGAGTGACCAGCTAGCTGTTCAAATGCTGCTGAGAAGTTGTATAAGATGAGGATAAATAAATGACTATTGGGTGTGGCAGCATGGAGAAGGAGTAGAGGGGAAAAAGGCCTGGATTGAAATGGATGACTTGCTAAGGTATATATCGATAAAAACAATACGTTGTTATAATTTAGCAGAGTTTAGAACAGGGTTTGTCAACCTTGGCATTGTTGACATCCTGGGCTGGATGAGCCTTTGTTGTGGGGCGGGTTGGATCCTGTAGATTGTATAATGTTTAGTAGTGTTCTGGCTTGTGTCAACTAGATGCCAGTAGCAACACACCCCCCACAAACTCCACCCCAAGTTGTGACACCAAAACATCTGTACACATTGTCAAATGTTCCCTGGCAGGTAAAATGGCCCATGGTTGAGAACCACTGGTTCAGACACTTACAAAAGGCAACAATATTAATGACTAATTTTTAGACATTAGGTTACTGAGTGGGAAGATGTTTAAGGACAGTCAGGGAACCTTTCTTATACTCCAAAACTTTTGCATTGTCGTTAACAACTATTTTGCCTATAATGCAAAGTTCTGTTTGATTCATAAAGCAACTAGTCTTACTTTGCATTGATGTCATAACGTATGTCAGTTATCGTAGAGGAGTTTGGATGTAAAGATGTAGAAGATTGTCCTGTATCTGTATTAAACCCAAGTCATAGCCTAGAAATTGTTATTTTGAAAAAATAATTACTTCATTTAATGTTTGATTTTTTTCTCATATAAATGTGGTATAGAATATGTAATTTTTAATTTCATTTATTTTAGCTTTCTGATTTTTGGATTCCAGATAAATTCCCCTTTATTTGGCAAAAGTACCCTTTTCTGCATACAAAGGAGTTAGTCTTAAGGTAGTAATTTTCAGTTAGCTACAGAACTACAGATCTGGGGAGAGATTAAGCAAGTCCTGCAGTTATTCATCCAGCAAATATGGTTTGGAGGCACTGTCCTAGGTACTAAGGGTGCTATAAAAATGACTTACATCTAGATCAAGTCCACCAAATCATTACTACCTAGAAAGGGAGATAGGACTTGTACATAACTAATTATATTAAAAGGCACAAAGTAAGAGGTTGTTAGAAAGGTGCTGTACAGATGAAGTATCACGGACATTCAAAGGAGAGGGTGATTACCTTTAGCAAGGGGTGAGAGGAAGAAAGGGTGGATATCAAGAAAATAGTCCTGGCATTTGTATAGGACTTTAACAGATAGTAGGATTTAGACTTAGAGACCTGGGAAAGGCCCATTCTAAGTGGATGGAAGAGCATGAGCACAGACATATGTAGAGATCAAAAGTAATTTGGTTTGAGTACTGGAAGAGGACTTGGGAAGGACATTGGGAGTTTAATATGTGACAAGGGTGACATTTCACTTTGGTGAGAAGGGATGTTTTAGTTAAGAAATGCTGCTAGTGTAATTTGCACTCCATCTGGAATAAAACCAACTAGACTCCCTCATCATAAAATACACAAAAAATAAGTTCCAAATAAGTTAAAGATACAGATCTTTGTGAAGAAATTAGGAGAATGATTGTATCATTGACATTTTAGTAAGAGATGTCAAAAATATTATGATGAGAGATGTTAGATATAGAGATAATATTTTTTAGTAAGACAGAAATTCTGTGAAAGGACAAGACAAACTTGTATAAACTTTTAAAGTTAGAAATTTCTGTTAAAATTAAAAATATGCAAATCTTTTGGCCTAGT